ATTTTTGATTAAAAATTTACGAATATCTTTTGTTCTCATTTCCAAATATATCCATGTTACCTCCTTTCCTCAGAAAGTCCACAAAACAATAGTGTGAACCGATTTGCAGCATTTGCCGATTTCCAAATTGTAAACGTTCACACTGAAGACTTGCCATCGGCTCGGCCCTGGTCCGTGCACTATTCAGCACTTCCCATCGACGGTGGGATTCTGGTTGGGATTTGAAGGCAGGAGGTGATGAAGAGGGAGGGCCTTCTAGGCATGGGGTGCAGCCGGAGAAAACGTCTGGAGCCTAGAGATGGAGGGTCTTGATCAAAGAGTACATGGTGGGGAGTACGGGGTAAGAAGACCGGGGAGGTAGGAGGGGGCTGGGTTATGAAAGGCTTTGAATGTCAAGAGGAGAATGTGTTTGATTCTCCAGGTGACAGGGAGTCACTGGAGGTTCTCGACATGCTCAGGCCTGAGCTTTCGGAAGGCCACTTTGCCAGCCCAGTGTGGGATGGACTGTGGCAGGGCTGGGCTTTCTCAATAGGCTAGAGAGAGGGGACAGGACCCAGCTCTGGGACTCCCCTCAATCAGGGCAGCTCTGTTCCTCCTCTGACATGTTCCAGGTGGCTGGAATGTTGCTGGGACCACGGAGAGGTCGTGCACAGCCAAGTGCCCAAAACGGCACTTGAACCCAGGCCTCTGGGGCTTGGAAGCCAGTTTTCTGCCTGCTGTGTTTTGGTGTGTCTCTTCAGCAGGATAATCTATTTTCCAAGTTGCTCCAATGCCCTTTTGACAGATCTCAGAGGCATGGAGCCCCAGACACTCCTCCGATTCTGATCTGGAGGTGAGACCACTAACTAACCCCTATGGGCCTGCCCTGGGGCAGCACCTTCTCCCTGAGCTGCCTCAGTTTCCCCAAACCCGGCTCCTTTCTCTTCCTCTCTGGCCAGGGCTGCCCCACCCGTTCCTCTCAAGCAGGAAGCCTGGGGGCAGTGGAAGGATGTGCTCATCAGAGGGCTGATGCCAAGGGCCACTCCTGCCTCCATGGGCTCTGACGGATTCCCAGGACAGGACAGAGATGGGAGGAGAAGCTGTGCTTTCCTGGGGGACTTCCTAGACCACCGACTTCCTCCTCAGGCTTCCTCTGAGCCTTGTTCCCCTCCCACCAGGAATGGCCTTGGTTCCCTCTGGGCTCCATCTCCTCCCACCCCTCACTCTGTTCCTGGAGGAGCTTCTGAGAAACCAGGGGAATCTCCCCACTTCCGCCTAAGTCACCCTGATGGGGAAGAAGCCTCCGTAACCCCGGAGACAGGGAGTAGGCTGAGGGGCATGAGATGAGATGAGATGAGAAAGGACCCCCTAGGGTGGGGATGGAGGGGTGTAGAAACTTACACTGGGCAGAGTTGGAGAAGCTGGAGTAGGGGGAGGGGAAGGCTGAGACCAACAGCGGGCCAGGCCCCTGCTTGCAATCCCAAGCTAGGCAGCTGGGGCTTTCCTCCAGCCACTTTCCTAAGGGAAGAAAGGAGGTTCTGCCATTTCAGAAGGAACAAGGCTATGAGCTCCTTGAGGACAGGGTAACACTTGGTGTTAGTTAGCTGTGTAGCTGGGGACTCACAGGTCCCTCCTAGCTGCAAATCTAGGATCCCGTTATTTCTGTCGGCCCCGTTTAAATGAACGGCAGGGATTGTTCTGTTTTTGTGTCTCCAGGGAGCCAGCCCTGTGCCTGGTATACAGTAAGCACTTAATACACGCCTTGTTCACCAACTAGCACAGGGTAGGTACTTACACGCTTGCTGGACTGAATAAAGGGCAATGGTGTGGCACTAGATAAAGAACACTGGTTCTGGAGTTATCAGACCTGGGTTCCAGACCCACCTCTGACATTTTACTATCTATGTGACTCTAGAAAGTCACTTTCCTTCTCGAGGCGTGAGTTTCCTCACCAGTAAAATCTGGGAGGTCGACCCGCTGGCCTGTGAGGTGCCTTCCGGCCTACGAATTCCCTAGGAGAAGCCAGGCTCATGTAGCCAATGAGACCTGCTCTGTGTACTCACTTACCTTCCCGGGGCCTCAGTTTTCTCATCTGTAAAATGAGGAGGAAGAATCAGATGTGTATGACCTCTGAGGACCCTCCAGATCATTCTACATCCAGGGATCACATGACCAGCCAGGGCCTGCCCCACAGATGCCCACGTGTGAAGAAGAGGGATCTGTGTTGCAAAACGGGCTTCGCGGTACGGGTGTGGCTGAGAAGAGAACGGGTCTGGGGGTCAGGAGTCCGGGGTTCACTGTCATACGGCCTGGAACAGGCCAATTCCCACTGTCAGGGCTTCACCTAGTAAATGAGGGACGTGGACGGTGTCTGTACTATACTACAGAGGATGCTAGATTTTCCTCAGTGACCCCGAGAAATCCCGTGGGGATATCCGCCTGGGGGCCTGTCCCTCCCCTCCTTCCCCCGGCCAGAAGTGCTCTCAGGGGGCTGCTTCTGGCCCAGGCTCTGACCACTTTCCTTGTAGCCTCCAGGAAAGCCACCTTCTCCCTGCATCGTCCCCATTTCCCCAGCTCTGCTTGGGGGAGACATCCCTCCTCCTACAAAGTGGAGTCTGGAAGAACAAACAGCCAGATTCAGGAGGCGCCAGTCCTGGGCAGCCTAAGTAGGAGCACTCCGGGGGAGAGAAGGGCCCCCTTGGAATTCTCTTTCCACTAGACAGGGGAAGAACAAGTCAGCTGTTGGGAGGGATGGGCGTGGCCAAGTATCTGGGGAGGGCACTGGCTGGTCACAGGATGCTAATAATAATGCACAGCGCATTAATAACAGCACGTTACAGCGCTTGGCACATAGCAAGCCCTTAGGAAATACTTGTTGGCTGACATAACGACGACAACAATCATAAGAGCGGGCTGTCCCATAACACTGTGAGGTCCGCAAAGCACGTCACAAACATTGTCTCATTTGAACCTCACAGCAATCCACTGAGATTTGTGGTATTATTCTCCCCATCTTACAGATGAGGACACTGAGGCTCCTTTCACCATACCACACTGGTTGGCTGTTGGGTGATCAGTGACAAGGCAGGTGCTGGGGGCTCTGCTAGGGGCCGGGCACTGGGAAATCGGGAATCCCCCAGGCTTGCCTTGCACCTGATGGCTCAGCCTTCCCTGCAATGGAAGAGGAGTATGATGGGTGTGAGGTGGCCCCCTCTTCACACCCTCCCACCTCGAGGCAAAGGCTATGGCCTCTACTGACCTCACAGCATCTCCGCTGGGCATGAGCGGTCGTCATGGGCAAAGGCCTGGCTCTGGAGCGTCGGTCAGTCTGGTCTGGGGATCCAGCCCTGCCCTTTAGAAGGTGTGATTCCCCTTTTGCTGTGCCTCAGTTTCCTTCTCCATGTTGTCGTTCAGTTGTTTCAGTCATGTCTGACTCTTTGTGACTCCATTTGGGGTTTTCTTGGCAATCTTGGGGTTTCTTGGCAAAAATAGGGTTTGCCATTTCCTTGGGTTCTTTTTACAGATGAGGAAACTGAGGTAAACCGGGTAAAGTGACTTGCATAGGGTCACACAGCTAGGAAGTGTCTGAGGCCAGATGTGGACTCAGGAAGATGAGTCTTTCTGACTTCAGGGCAGTGCTCTGTTTACTATGCCACCTAGTTAACTACCCCAACAGATGGATGGCTGAGATGAAATATGGCATAGAAGTCACCCTAAGGGGGTAGGCGTGCAGGCATGGGAATAGTGTAGTGTAGTAGTTAGTTAGAGACCTGGCCTTAGAGTCAGGAGGACCTGGGTTCAACTCCCTCTGGTACGTACAGGCTGGGTGACCCTGGGAAGTCACTTCTCAATGCTCTAAGACTAAGTTAGAAAGGAAAGTAATCTGCATTGGCGAAAGGGGTTTTTGTATTGGGAGTTCCCTATCACAATGTCATAGGTTAGGACCTACACAGATGTTTACGCACATGCCTACAGCCATACATCTCCAGGGGAGTGAGTAAATAGTGACAGCCTCAAAACCAAGAAAGCCTGGCTTGAGGTCCCACATGTGACACGTGCTGGCTGTGTGACCTTGGACAAGTCATACCCTCTCAGGCTCTGAGAGGCTCTAAGTTGCTGATCATCTGTGTTGGTGTAGGGATTTCTCCCTGGGAGTACTCTAGACTAAGAAAATCAGCCCTTGATCACTTAGGCTTATTATTATCCCTGCCTCACATCTGGCTGGCTTCATCTACCCAAACTAATGCTCCTGGACCAGCTCGAGACCTCACTCACTCCCTCAGGCAGCATGGGGTCGGTCAGGATGGTCACTGGACTGGGCCCTTACAGGTCATAGAGCCCTTATTAACCGGAAAAGGAAACTGAGCCTGGAGGAGAATTAACTTGCCCAAGGTCACACAGCTAGTAAGTGGCACAGCCAGGCTTTAAACCCAGGTCTTCCCAAAATCAAATGCAGGGCTCTTTGCACTGTACTCCACTATTGACTCTGTTCTAGTCATGTCCATTTATGAGGTCTTACAGTTAGGTCTCCATACAGCAGTCTGCCTTGGTATCATTGCTTTGCTAGACTGTGACCTTTCTGAGGACAGGAAACCTGGCTCTTTCTCTTTTTTGAAGCTTGGGTTTCCCTGCCTCCATTCTGAGGCTCATCCTATCAGTGCCCCGAGATTTAGGGCAGACACCCAAATGACCCAGAACTCCTGAGCTCAACTGGTCCACCAGCTTCAGCCTTCCCAGTGGCAAGGAATCCAGGAGTGTGCAGCCACCCCCAGCCTCCTCTGCCGAGGATGGTACTCTGTCCACACAGTAGGCATTTCACCTATGCTGATGAATGAATGACTCCAAGAGGGATTTCAGAGGAGGCTGATGGAGGGGGAAGTCTGAGGTTGGCGGCCACCTACTTTGTCCATGGATACAGCTAGCTCCAATCACGGAGGAGTGCCTGCTCAACCTTATCCCTAAAATGAAAAGCAAGAGTCAGGGCTTGGAACAATAATGCTTCATCTCCTCTTCTCCTCCAGGTCTCCAGCCCTGAGGGTACCTGACCCCAAAATGTCTACAGACACCTTATCCAGCAAAGCATTAAAGGTGAGAGCCCTTTCCTTTGATTCCTTCCCCTCCTGTCCTGTCTGCGTACTCCCTGCTCCCCACCCCAAGTTAGTCAAGGCCCCATTTCTAGAATTCTCCTAGCTCCCCAGACACAAGATTCCAAACTCCAGTGTTCTCCCGGCTCCAAGGCCCCAGGTTCCAGAGTCCTCCTGACTTCTAATTAAGTCCTCAGCAGCTGCAGGTCACAGACTTTAGAGTTAAAATGGAACCTGGGGATTCTCTAACCCGGGGGTTGTTAACTTACTGTGTACAGATTTCAGGGGAGAAAAATCATGTTTCATGACCTTGGGCAAGACACTTCACCTCTGTTTGCCTCTGTTTCTCCATGTGTAAAATGAAGGTGTTGGACCAGATGGCTTCTGAGATGCCTTCTGGCTCTAGAGATATTGTTCATCTTCTGTTTTTATTTTTCCCCCAGGACCAGTCCCCTTAGGTAAAGGGAATAGGGGAAGTTTAGGACTTTCGCCTTAGGAGAAAAGAGCCAAAATGATTCCTCTATTCCCACCTCATCCACGGCCCCTTCTCCTTCTAATATCAGGAAACTGAAGGTGGGAATTGGAAGAGGGTTAGAAGGGAGGAGGCAGGCAGGGAAGCAGTAAAAGGAAAGAGGAGGAAGAAAGAAGAAGACAAGAAGAAGGGAAGAATATAGGGAGAAGAAGCGTGATTGAGGAAATTGGTATAAGGAGAGGGAAGATGACAAAGGGATTGAGGAATGGGGAGAAGAGAGAGTAAGGACCATAGTTTGGTTTTGGAGCTGAAAAGGACTTTCTGAGATCATCGAATTCTAGTCCCTCCCTCTCATTTTACAGAAGAGGAAACTGAGACCTCAAGAGGAAGGGAAATCAGAGGGAGAAGGGAGGAAAAAAAAGAGAAAATAAGTGTTAGGAGGAGAAGAAAGAAAGCAGAAGACAAAAGGGGATTGAGGAGAAAGAGGGGAAGGAGAGAAAAGCAGAGGGAAGAAGAGGGAAGAGAAAGGGGAAGATAACTGGGAAAGAACAAAGAGGAGGGGGAGGAGAGAGGAAATAGGAAGGGGAGGGAAAAGGAAGAAAAGAGAGAGAAGAATAAGGCAGTAAGACAGGAAGGATGACGAAAGGAAGGCAAAGGGGAGAGGAATGGGACAACAAGAGAGAATGGAGAGAGAAGTTAGAGGAGAAGAGAAAACCAGAAGGAGGGAGGGAAGAGGAGGGAGAGGAAAGGACAAGGTAGGAACAAAGGGAGGAGAAGGAAGACGAACGGGAAGGAGCCATTGGAAGTTGAAGAGGAAGCAAAGTAGAAGTAAATGAAAGGAGGAAAAAAGAGCAGGGATATGGGGAACAAGAGGGTGAGAGGAGAGAAAGTGGGAAACAAAGAAGGAAAAGAGGTAAAAGGAAGAGAAAGAAAACTGAGAAGAGGGTGAGGGCAGGGGAAGGAAGAAGAAAGAGTGGGCAAATGAGAAGACAGAAGACTAAGAGAAAGTGAGAAGAAGAGAGAAAGGAGTGAGGAAAGAAGGGAAAAGGAAGGATGAAGGAGACAGCAGGGAGAGGGAGGATATGAGAGAAGAAGAAGAGAGAGGTTAGGCTGAGGGAGAGAAAGTGTGGGCTGTGGTGTCCATGTTGGTGTCTGTGTCGATGTCAGCATCAGTGTCCGTGTCAATGTCAGCATCAGTGTCTGCGTCAATGTCAGCATCAGTGTCCATGTCAATGTCAGCATCAGTGTCCGTGTCAATGTCAGCATCAGTGTCCGTGTCAATGTCAGCTTCTGTGTTCACGTGTCTGTCTCTGCCAATGTCAGCATCAGTGTCCGTGTCAATGTCAGCATCAGTGTCTGTGTCAGTGTCTGTGCCAATGTCAGCATCAGTGTCCGTGTCAATGTCAGCATCAGTGTCCGTGCTGATGTCAGCTTGTGTCCACGTGTCTGTGTCCCTGCCAATGTCAGCATCAGTGTCCGTGCCGATGTCAGCATCAGTGTCCGTGCCGATGTCAGCTTCTGCGTCCACGTGTCAGTGTCCACGCCAACGTCTGTCAGTGTGGATTGCGTGCGGGGTCGCTGTCCGCCCCCCCACCCCAGCCACGGCCGCCTGACGCCCTTCCTGCCCCGCAGATCAAGCGCGAGCTGGGCGAGAACACGGGCCCGCACCTGTCGGATGAGGAGCTGATGGCGCTGTCGGTGCGGGAGCTGAACCACCACCTGCGCGGCCTGTCCAAGGAGGAGGTGGCGCGGCTGAAGCAGCGGCGCCGCACGCTCAAGAACCGCGGCTACGCGGCCAGCTGCCGCGTCAAGCGCGTGTGCCAGAAGGAGGAGCTGCAGAAGCAGAAGAGCGAGCTGGAGCGGGAGGTGGACAAGCTGGCCCGCGAGAACGCCGCCATGCGCCTGGAGCTCGACGCCCTGCGCTCCAAGTACGAGGCGCTGCAGGGCTTCGCGCGCTCCGTGGCCGCGCACGGCGGGCCCGCCGCCAAGGTGGCGCCCGCCAGCGTCATCACCATCGTCAAGTCGTCGGCCGCGGCTTCGACGGCCTCCCCCGCCAGCCCGGCTGCCTGCTCCTCGTGACCGCGGGTCCCGCCCCCCCGCTGCCCCTCCCCGCGCGGATGGGGGGGTCCAGGCCCCGCCCCCGTGGGATTTCAGCCTCTCCCCCAATGCCCCGCCTCCTCGCCCAAGCCTTAACACCTCCCAGGCCCCGCCCCCTCCCGTGGCCCCGCCTCCCGAAGCTCCTAGTTCGGTGCGCCCGCCAGCCCGTCGTCTCCTTCCCCCGTGGTCAGGCACTCCCGAGTCCTGGTGGGGGCTGGAAAGGGGCGGTGGCTCGTTGTCTCCCGTGGGGGGAAGGGGTAGCTCAGAAGCAGAAACTGGGAGGAGGAAGACAATTCCCTGCTCCACCCCCCCCCCCCCCACCCCCTCAAATGCAGTTGGAGTTAAATCTACACGCATTGATTAGGCGCCGCCTTTGTGCCAGGCACTGGGACGTGGGCACCCTCCACTCCCGGCCCTTCCCTCTGTGCTGTCCCATGCCCTCCCTGCTCTTAGCAGCCTGCCCTTCCCCACCCCTTCGTTTCCTCAACTGCAAACTGGACACGAGGGAGGGGACGCGCTCAGGACTGTGCTGTGGGGACCCCTGGGCCACTCTCTCTCCCAAGAAAACTGACCCAGCAAGCAGCTCAGCCCCTTTCTCCCAGGCCAGGGAGGAGAGGGACAGGTAGAGGAGGTAGAGGCCATGTCCCGACCTCCTCCCTCCTGGATTTTTGGTTCTCTTGGCCCCTGCAGCAGGAGCCTTGGAAGCAGGTTGGACACCTGGCTTGGGTGCGTGGGAGCCCTCTTCCTGAGGAATGGGGTCTTCCAGAGGGTGTCTAGACATCCCTCAAGGCTGAGAGAACCCCTCCAGCCCCCCCCCACGGCTGGCCCATCCAACTTCTCAGGGCCTGGGTCACCCAGAGATGTGCTAGAATTACTCCTGGGCTTCCCTGAGGGCTGGGGGTCTCTAGGAGGCAGGCCGGGCCCCTGGGACCAGTCTGCCCAAAGTCAGGCACTTGGAGCTGGAGAGAAGGAAAGGCTGTGCAGGGCAGGGTGAGGGATGGGATGGCCAGCATAAGACACCAACCCCCCCTTCAATGAGGAAGAAGAGCTGGGGCCCCTCTCCCATGAGCGCTTTTGGGGAGGGGGCCTAAGACTCTGGGGTTTCTTGTCTTCCCATGGAAGAAAGCCTTTGTGGTCCCCCTCCCCTAACCAGCTGCTCCCCTCCCCCAGCTACACACACCTCCCTCAACCAGCCCCAAACCCCCTTTTTTATTTATTGCACAGAGCTAAGTTATTCTCCACCACAGCTGCCAGCCCCCCTCACTGGAGCCCAGTCTGGGTGGGAAAGTGGACGAGCTGGACGTTATATTTTGTATCTGCAAATAAATCACATTTTATCAATATGTAACAGAGGACCCTGAAAAATGCCCCCCCAGGGGTTCCAGAATTTATTTATTTTCTGACTTACAGTAAGCGCTGCTCGCCTCCTGTATTTTGTAGACTTTCTGAATAAAGCAAGTTCTTTTTCACTGAGATGAGAGTGTGGCCTGGACTGTGTCCCGAGAGGGAACTAGAGATGGGTGGGGATGCACAGGGACGGACAGGGAAGACGGCTTCTCAAGTCCCTAGTTGCATTGGCGTGTTCCAGACTCAGAGAATCAGCTGGTGAACCTGCCTCCTTCCTTATCGTTATATTAGAGATTGCCCTCTGATCTGGGATCTTCCACATAATCATAGAATTTTAAAACTGGAAGGGACCTCAGGCCATCTTGTCCAACCCATACCAAAAAGGAATTCCCCTACAGTCCTGTCTGAGGACCTCCCAGGAAGAGATTCTGGGGAGGATGGAATCTCAGGCCAGTTAAGCCAAATCCCTCCTCTTTCTCCACAAAGTGAAAGCTCTCACTTGAGCCCATGTTGTATAAGGACAAATGGAAAGAACCCGGGATGTTTGAGAAAAGACCTGGGATGGATACGTGTGACATGTGTCTCCAGTAATAGAAGGGCAAGGCTCAAAGAAGCCAACTTGGGCTACACCGCAGGAAAAGCATTTTAACAACTTAGATCCGGCCACAGATAAATGGACCTGAGGCAGAAGATGTGGGTCTGAATCTCTCATTGCTGTGTGACCCTGGACAAGGCATTTCACCAGAGCCCCTTCACATCTCTAAAAATGTCAGCATGGGCACCACCACATGAGAAAACCCTTGTGAGCCCTAAAATTTATCCTAGAAATGGGGGCTCTGATTCTCATCTATGTTAAAGGGAGGCTGTGGGGCTCAGTGGAAAGGGCACTGAATTTGGAGTCAGTGGGCCTGGGTTCAAATATCTGCTCTGCTATTTACGGTGTTGGCCTTTGGGCAAGGCCTCCGTTTCTTCTCCTGTAAAAGGAGCTAGTCGGATAAGATGGTTCTTCTAGGCTTGAAATCCTACACAAAGGGCCCTCACTGTGGGCAGGTTCAGATGGTTGGACAAGGAACTACAGACTTGAAGATATCCCGGACGGAACGTTTTGGGGACGTGATGTCTGGCCCGTAGTGGAGCATCAAAACTCCAGCTCCTGACTTGAAGCCCTGCCTTGGAAGGCCTCTCCGGCACCCTGTTCCTCCCCACCTTCCCTGGGGGTGTCTGCCCCAGGATGAGGGCAGGGCCTTTCTGCTGTATTCAGCACAGTGCCCGGCCCATAGGAAGCCCTGGAGAAATGGCCCCTGACTTGATCTTCACCAAGTCCTTCCCCGTAGGCCAGCCTCAGTTTCCTGTCTAAATGAGGGGGATGGATTAGATGGCCTTCTAGCTCTGATATCTTCTGATTTAAGTCCTGGATACTGACTGATTCCCCCACCCCCATTACCCTATCTGAACAGGGTAATGAGAGCTGTTGGGAGAAAGGAGCTTTGGAATTAGAAGCCCTGGGTTCCAATCCTGATCCTGAATGGTCTCTAAGTCACTGCCTACTCTATCTAATGGGGGGGCTGGACAAGCTGAGCGCCAGCTCTTCCGCTGCAATCTTATATCACTGCCACCTCCCCCCAGCTCCAGGACGGCTGAGCACAGGCCCTACTAACAGTGAGAGACCCCACCCAATGACCCCTCGGTCCCAAAGTGCTGAGCTCAGCCCTCCCCCAGGCTGGGCCAGCTGCTGGCACTGGGCTCTAGGCAGGAAGCTCCAAGGGGGATGACAAAGCAGCTATGTTTACAGAGAGGTCAAAGGCTGGTGGGGAATTTCCCCCACCCCCGTACATTCCAGGGGGCTCACGTCAGTGAGCAGGGCCAGGCCCTCCAAAGGCACGCAGCTTTCTGGCACCCTGGCCTCCTGCACACCTGGCTGGGCCTGTGGGTGCAGTGCCAACCTCAGGGCAGCTCTGGCCTCAGGCCTGCGGGGGGCACAGAAAAGGGGGAGGATCCCCCAGGACGATGCTTGTCCCCTGGGGTGCTCCGGCCTCTCCCATGTACTCTGTGGGGGGGGGGTTCAATCCCCAACCCCAAGGCTGCCAGGGGGAGTGGGCCCTGGGAGGTGGCAGGAAGGGTCCATGTCACCCAGGCATCGAGTGATGGAGCTGGAAGGGGGAGTGTCGCACCCCTTGGTGTGGCCAAAGGAGTACTGGGCTAAGCCTAGGTGCTAATCCTGCTTGGACGCTGTGACCAAGAACCACCTCTCTGAGGACCAGATGAAGGAGGTCTGTTCCAGCTTCAATCCCAGCCCAGGATGGAGCCCCCCTGGCTGCTGAGGGTGCCCCATCTCAGGTCTTTGGGGGACTTAGCAGCATGGGACAGAGAGAGACAGGCCCGGCTACTGTTTTTCAGCCACACCCAGAGGTCTGCCTGGCAGCCCCTGCCTCTGGGACTGCCTGAGTCACACCTTGAGCACCCCCTCCCCCACAAATAGAGAAAGAGGAGAGGGGACAAATCACCACAGGCCAACATGATTTCAGTACAATCTATATTATCTCATATATATATATATATATAGATAGATATATATATAATCTCGCAGCTTATCTGCTTGCTCCTGTCCCGGCGCCTTTAAAATATCACAGAGACCAAAATAGAGGGCTGTTTCTGGGGGAGCCGCGGCACTCCGACCTGATGTACAAAACTAGCTGACTCTGACTTCTCACAGATCATACAAGGAAGGCTTCAAGTCTTCTTTATATACAAAGAGCTATGCTACCTGAAAATAATAATCATACAAAAAGGGTGTGGGAGGTTAAGTCACACATAAAAAGAGCAGGAGGGAGGAGACCCCCCAACCTGCTGCCCCAGCAGGGCTCTGGCAAAGGCCTTCATGGGCAGGGGCAGCAACCGCTACTTTGGCCTGAAAGGCTAGAGGAGGGAGAGGGCACGGTGTCCTGTGGCTGGGGAGAGCTGGGCCTGGCCTTCTTGATGCGAGCAGTGCCTAAAGCCCACACTGATGTGGGGGGGCGGGGAAGCCCAGCTCCACTGGGGGATAGTGAAGGGAGCTCATTTCTCTATCACCGCCAGGATCACAAGGCTGGGATCTCCCACCCCGTGCCATGCCATCCTCTCCTGCCTTTCGCTCAATGGACAAGGAAGACATCAGTCAATAAGCCTTTGTCCCCTTGTCTGACCACAGGAGAGGCCCTTAAATCAGGAGCCTTCCCTCCTGAAGGTGGGGAGGAAGGTGCATCTAACTGGGGGCTCCCGACAGCCCTCTCCCCACAAGGCCAGGGGATGGCCAGAGGTGGATGTTTCATGCATTTCAGAACTGATTTACTAATTACAAGAGAAGATCTGCTCATTCAGCCTTTACTGCCCATTCCTGCCTCCTCATCTAGGAAGAGGCCTCAAGGCAGGCCTGGGGGAGGTGAGGGTGGCAGGAGAGGTGACGATGGGGGGCATTCTGACACCTGCTGAGGGCCCCCCCCCAGGCCTCAGAGCCAGGTGAGCCTGGTGGCAAAGGTAGCAGCTGGCTCTCAGCAAGGGCCTGGGACAAGGTGAATGATGCCTGAAAGGGAGGGCAGGGGAAAGGACTGCCGTGAAACTAAGGCACACAAGAGAAGGCTTGGGGGGGGGCTCCAAGAGCCCTGCCAGGCGAGAAGATGGGAGGGGGGTGGGCTTCCCTCCCCTCCCCCTTCTACCCTCATGTTTTCTTTGCTCCCCTCTCTCCACGCATTTGGGGGGCTGGCTTTCAGGGTCCTAGAGAAACCAGTCTGAGATGCCCGATAACCAGCCCTGAGGCCTACACACTGGATTAGCACCCCTGCCCTGAGGCATTATTCTCCCAGAGGAAATCAGGGGTCTTTGGAGGCGACTGGGGCTGTGTGGCCCTGGTTTCCATGAGAAGCTGGCAGCAGGGAGTAGCCCAACAGTACCCTGGGAGGGGTGCCGTGGGCCGGAGGCAGCGATTCTGCCTGGCATGTCAATGCTGTGAGGAATGGACCTACTTCTTGGGGGGAGGCGGGAGTGTCCAGGTTCCATCCAATTTCTCTGTCTAGAGCAAGGCTGAGATACCAGGAACAAAGGAATGAGGAGGGAGGGAAGTATTGCACAATTAGGTGGGGAGTGGGGGCTGCACCTGGTCCTATCCCTGGGCTTGGGGGCCTGGCTTGGCACCAGCTCTAAAGGAGACAGAGTGTGGGGGTTGGGGGAGAAGGTGGGAGTGGTTTGCGGCAACCACCCCCCAATTCTTCCAGCTCAGACACACATCACGGGGGCCACTGTGCCCTATGCCCTCCCAAGGCGTGGGTGGGTCGGGCCCTCCCATGCCATGCACTCCTTCTGCTCTCTCCCAGGTAGCCAGGGCACCACCCGGCTCGTCGGGCCTGTTCCGGTCTGGGCGGCCCCCTCCTACCATGGAGAAGTGATATGACTTGAGTGTTTCTGGTTTAATAAATTAAAGGAAGATTCCAAGGCTATGCTAGACAATTTCAACGTCCCCCTCGCCTCGGGGAGGGCGGGGGGCTCCTCAGGTGGCCCAGTCCTCATCCCACCGGCCTAGAATTCATCGTCGGAGCTCAGCAGAAGGGTCTTTTCATTGTCGCGGCCGCCTCCGCCACCAAGGCTGTGGGAGCGGGCCAGCACGTGGGCACCGTTCCTCCAGGAGGGGCCGTGCTCCAGCGTCGACTGCTGCGTGTACTGCTGGTAGGCCGGGGAGAAGTTATGGATGGCGTCCTGCACGATGTCGTGGGGGTTCATGGTCTCCTTGAGGCTGCTGGAGATGCTCTTCATGGGCGCGCAGCGGCCTGCAGGGAGGAGGCGGGAGAGGACTGTGAGGTGGCGCCCGGGCAGCCCGCCCCCTCCCCGCCCCCACCAAAGTGGTCCTCAGTCTACCCCCAAGAAAAGACCCCTGGATGCCGGCGCGAAGTCAGGCTCTGAATGACACTGCCAGGCTTGGCCAGCGCTTTGTGATGGATATATCTGGTGCTGAAGAAAGGGGAGGAAACGGAAAGGAAGCCGAGGGCCACACTCTGGCTGGGAGGGAGGCGGCGTCTGCTCAGCCAGGCCCTCGAAGCAGGCAGGGCACAGCCCTTTGGCAAGGGGAGAGGACTTGAGCCGATGACAAACCGCCAGAGCTGCCTGTCTCCTGCTCCCAGAGGCAGGGGGCCGCCTACTGGGGTGTCTTTGAGTCCAAAGAGCCTGAGGGGAAGGAAGCAACTGGAAGTGGGGAGAAAGGGAAAGGAAATGGCCATCTCCAGTGAGGGAGGAGCGAGGGGACCACGGCAGGGACCGCAGACACCTGGATGGGGAAGGGCAGCGTGAGGAGCCTGGGGGTGTGTCTGTGCTCTCAGCTGAGGAGCCGGGCCTGCAGGTGCGCCCCACCTCATCGCCCCAGCAGCACGGGCTGGCAGACAAAATGGCCTCGAGCTACGATCCTCTGACTTGGTGAGGGTGCCAGGAGAGACAAGGGACGGCCTCCCAAGCATTCCTCATCATCCTGTAGTGACCTGGCCTGGGCCAGGCACCGGGGGAGCCAGCTGCTGCCGCAGGACCCTACTGATCCTTCCCCTCCCGGCTCAGTCTGGGCTGAAAGTGCAGGGGAGCAAGGAGAGAACGGAGGCATGCTGGAGGGATGGAGGCCGTGATGGCCAGAGTACCTACCGTAAGGGCCATACGCCGGCACTGCGCAGCATCAGAAACCAGTCAGGGGAGAGGGGAAAGGCAGAGACAGAGGGAGAGGGAACCAGAGACAGAAAGACGGGAGATGACTGAATGAACAAAATACGCCCAACAACCAAAGAGCCCCTGGACCATGGCAGACCCTGGCATCTTCGGGGCTCGGGGACCCACTGGCTTTGGAGGGTCAGGCCCGTCCATTCATAGCCAAGGCCCCGGGAGGCGGCTCAACACTGGGATTCACTCCACTCTGCCTCCCCTGGGGCTGGCCTGCAGCTCCTTGGAGGACGGGGGAAGAAGGCCCCCTGCCCCAATCCTGGCTCCCTTCAAACTGAGCCGCCCTTCTCTCTCTAGCCTGGGGTCCGGCTTGGGAGGCCTAGGCTCCTCTTCTGTGGACGCTTCCTGAGGGCAGGAGCTGTTTCTGGTACACAATAAGGGCTTAATAAATGCTGACTGACTGCTATTGGCTACCACCGCCTGACAGAGCTGCTTCACTGATGACAACCAGGAAACCCTGCGGGACAGCAGGGGCCCACTCAAGAGGGTCAGACCGAACAGCTCTGGGCCTGGGGGTGGCCACAAGGAGCACTCCTAGCCCAGGTCGGGAAGAAGCCCCGGGCATGGCCACCGCAGGCCAGAGCTCTCCATCATGGGAGAGGGCGCTCAGGAAACTTTCAGGGTTTCCAGCCTGGGCCACCTCCCTGCTGACCCAGTCAGGGTTCAGGGCCTGGGGGAAGGGAGAGGCTCGCCTCCTCCAGCTCTCACTCTCACTGGCCTCATGGGACGTGGTGAAAGCAGCTTCCCCTCTGACCCACATCCAGTGGCTGCCTTCTGGGGCCCCACCCTCAGGGCAAGGCTACAGAACAGGGGGCTGCTGGCCTTATCCTGCAGTGCCCAGCACGGGACCTTATTCCCGCAATAACTGATAAATCTCCCTCCAATCAATGCCGTTTCCCAGGCAGCCTGCCCTGGGGCTTCTAGATGTGTGGCTGGCAATCTCCCTAAGAGCGGGCATGCTGGCAAGCACTGGCAACTTCCTTCTGAGGGCACAGCAGGAAGCAGGCTGGGGATGCCCAGGGGCAGGGCTGCAGGGCCCCCCTCAGGGTGTGGCCAGCCTGATCACAACCTCCTGCTGAGAACATGTTTGTGTGGGAGGGGGTGGGGGGCAGCAGGGGAAGGTGAAGCATGCTGAAGGGACCTTCCAGCCTGGGAGGCCCAGGGACTGGGGACGGGGCAGTGGAGAACACTGTCCTCCAGCACCCAGAAACCTATGCTCCAGCACTAAGGCCTGGGCAGGAAAGGGTGCCACATGTCCAACCCCAATTCTGACCAGCCCCTCTGGTTCCTGGGTCAGAGGACTGGCTTCTCTGTAGGTGCTCTGCCCCACAGCGGGGCTCACAGCCAGTGCCGGTCTCTGCCTCCCCAGGGCTCAGAACACGGGAAGCCCTGACTAAACGCTGGTGACAGGGAGCACGTCACAGAGGCTTTCTCCAGCATGTCGCAGGGGAGCTCAGAGACCAGTGAGAAAAGGGAGCAGTGTTGGAGAGAACGTGGAGGGCACCGGGAGGCCTTTTCCATCTGCAGCGTTCTCCTCCAACATGGAGGGGCCTCCTCTCTCTCGGGGTCTCTGTTTGGACTGAGTCCTGGCTGGAGCCAAATCCCGGCCAGCTCAGCTCCCTGCCCCGCAGCAGACCGGGAACGTCGCATTTGTTTGTCAGAGCTGACTTGGGACAAGAGGCAGTGGAAGGGGAAGGAGCCCTTGGACTCCTCACCCGATAGCCTCAGTTTCCCTAACTGTAAACCAGGGAGCTTCTTCTCCAAGGCCCCGGGAAGGCTGAATGGGGTCATCAGCAGAAAGGTTGGTCCCCCCCGACTCCAGGTGGGGGCCTCCTCCGCCACACCCCTCCATTCCCTTACCTTGGGCATTGAGCCTTTTGTCAGCATAGACCTGGTAGGTGAAGGCGTGGCGCAGCGCCAGGGAGGCAAAGAACATCTCCACACAGATGATGAAGTCCTGGTAGCCGGCAGCCACGGTGCCCTCCCCCACCGACACCTCGGCGGAGTGGATCTTGGGGATGGCCCCGCACTTCTCCAGGATGGCCAGAAGCATACCTGCCGGTGAGGAAACCAAGAGGGTGATGATCAAAGGCTCCAGGAAATGGGGAGAGGGGAGGCAGGGCCAGGCAACGGCTGCATGTGAAGAAAAGCCAGGGGTCTGAAGGGCCTAGGAGCTCAGCAGTGTGAGAGGGAAGCCTCAATGTCAGTGGGACCTCAGGACCTGCACTGAGAAGCCCCACCCTCAAGCCAAACGGGTATCAGTCCCCAGGACAGGTGGGGGGGCTCAGGGAGGAGGGGCAAGTTTAAGGAGAGACCAATTCAGGATGGGAGAGAGCATGCCCAAAGGAGGGCCCCCGGGCTGGGGAAGGAACTGGGGATGTGGCTGCTGCCTTTAAGTATCTCAAGGGTTATCAGGTGGAAGAGTGGGTCTTCAAGAGGCCCACACAACCAGGGGACGTGATGGAAGGTGCCCTGCTCGTGTTCTAAGCGGCTGGCAGTGAAGAGAGCACTGAGCCGCACGGCCCCTGAGGGGAGGGACGATGGGGGCCGAGACGCCCCTATTCCCCGCCTTCTGGGGAGCAGCCCACAAAGGACCTCCATGTGGGCAGAGGAATGCACGTCCACCCAATGAGCCCGGCAGCACACGCATCCTTGGAAGCGTGTCCGTGGAGGCCCAGGACAGCCACCGTCACTGCCAGAGGTCAGAGGAGCCAGGGAGCTTAGTCAACAGCGGAAGAGAGTATCTGATTTCTCCTCACAAGGGAAAACCGGGGTCAGTCTAACCGGGAAAGCCAACAAACACTCAAGAGCCAGTGTCCCCAACACGCTCACTTCTCCCCAGTCGGCTTCCTTGCACCGAGCCGTCAACACGACAAAACCTGTCCCCAGACTCCCGGCCACGCCAGTCAGCTGAGCACCTCACGGCGGGATGGCCAGCTCCCTGAGAAGCACTACCACAGGGCCGGCCAATCTGGGCCTGCGTCACTCACTCAACGAGGTCAACGAAGCTGCCCGGGAGAGCACAGGACACCCCCGAGGCCATCAGGACGACGAGGCTGGGGAAGGCACGGAGGGCCCTGCTTGCTCGGCCCAGGCCAGGCCTGGTCCTGCCCGGTGGTCAGGGAGGAGCCTCACCTTGCCAGAAGGAGAGAAAGATGACAGACTTGACCATGAAGAATTTGAGGACGGGGCTGTAGGGGCTGAGCAGCTCGCGGGTGGCAAAGTAGAAAAGGAAGAGGGCATAGAGGGCCAGGCTGACCGAGATGTTGTAGATGATTGTCACGTAGAGGTAGCCGCTGGTGACGCTACAAGAGGAAAGAGACGTTGAGCGCTCATGGCCTGGCTGGCACCGGGAACACTGCCAGGTGCGAGGGCACCATGCCCTGTGTGACCCAGGCACAATCCTTCAGATGGAGGGAATCCTGCCATGTAACCTGGCAAAGGGTGGTATGTGGTAGGCAAGAGGGATGCCCCTGTCATGTTCTCCTCAGACTAAAATAAAAATCAGTCTGTACTTCCTAAACAGCTGTTGGGAAGAGGAGGAATCCCTGAGCTGTGCCCTAGGGTCAAGGATGCCAGCCAGCGTCCCACAGCGTGCCAGGTGGAGTCAAGGAGGGACTTCCACAAGGAATGACCACCAGCTCCCACCAGAGCAGCCCAGGACGTCTCCTCTCCCTCACCATTCCCAGCACACGCCTGCCAGGCTCTTGGCTTTGCCCTGCGCCCTTGTCCCTTTGCTTGGGTTAGCAGGGTCTATCATCTATGGAAATCAGAGGGCAGGGCCAACTGGAGCAGGGTCATGGGCTTCTTCCATGAGAGGGAGAAGGTCCCTTGACTCAGTTTCCCGGCTGTGACATCTCCAAACCATACTGTATGAATTCAAAAGCATCCCTCCTCCCACGAAAGGCACAGGTCACTCCTAACCCCCCCCCAGGATCCTGCTCTCATCCGAGGAAGCTCACCTCCCCCTCCTCTGCCCACTCCCTCGGTCCTCAATCCAGCCCCAATATGGGGCATATGCTGCCCCCAAACATGTGCTTACTCAAAGTCACCGTCGCGGTACTTCCCGAAGGCTTGGAGGATCACCGTGCTAATGGCCATGAGGGGCTTCACCACACAGAACTGCAGGGTGGCCTGGAGGGAACCAGAGAGAAGGTGAGAAGGAGAGACAAGGCATGCAGGGGACTGTGGGAACGAGGATGGGGAAGGACCCATTGCCTCCCTGGGCCTCAGTCTGCTCTTGTATGAAATGAGGTGCTTGACCCATGATCTCGAGGGTTCCCCCAGCTCCCGCACCCACTGAGGCACAGCTCCACACTGGACTGGCACCAGCCGGCTCAGCCCGGGGCCAAGCAGCCTGCCTTCCCAATGACGACGCTTCCCACGTCTGCCATCGACAACTAGGTGCCCCTTCGGGCCCCTCCTCCCCGCCGCACCCCCCAGCTGATTCTGCAGGGGGCAGTTTCCTGCACCCACTCTACTCCCCAGCAGGGCTCTCAAGACTGTACATTTCTAGATTGGGCTGGATGAACTCCCACTTCCTGCGGCCCTCCGCTAACCTCGCTAACCTCCACGGCCTCCATGAATGCAGACAATCACTTGTTAGCTACAGGGACAATTGGCTCTGCCCTGGTTTCACAATCTCCCACGGCGGCTCCAGCTAATTAAATGGCACAGTGTTGCGCAACTCTCATTAAGTCTCCAAACAAAACTGTAATTCATGAGATACACAGTAACCCAGCGGGGGTGGGGTGAGGGGACCGGTGAAACATCTTGTAAAATACAAAAACTAAGGTTTGGGATCACAGTATGACAACGGGCAGCTAGCTTTAACTGAGCACTTTATACGTGTCAACTCATTTGATCCTCACGCTAATCCTGTGAGAGGAGTGCTACCTTTATTCCCATTTCACAGATGAGGAAACTGAGGCTGAGAGATTAAGGGACTTGCTTAGGGCCGCGTCACTAAGTGCCTGAAATCAGGATTTGAATTCCAGTCTTCCCGCCTCCAAGTCTGACACTCTATCCGTGACTGAGCTGCCTTTCACAGCCTCGATAGTTGACAGGGACACTGAAGGTCTAATTCAACCCTTTCATTTTACAGATGAAGAAATGGAGGCCCAGAGAGGGTCCAAGCTCACCCGGGTGAGTGACAGAGGCATTGATCTGGAGCTTCCACCCAGAGGAGGCTTGAGAGGTAAGCCCCCTAAGCCTGGCCCACCCAAGGACCACTGGCTCCACGCTGCTGGCATCGGCCAGTGGAAACCTCGATGCCTCTTCACAGCTAAAAGGTGGGGTGGAGGGATAGGTCAGGAACAAAACCAAACAGGGCCGGTGGAAAAGTTGGGGCAGCGGGGTCACCTCGGGGGAATCATTCCCTTCTGTGGGCTGTTTCTGGACTCTGAAAAGGTGACCACCCACCTCTCAAGGCCCTCTTCTAACCCTGATCTTCTAGCCAACCCTCCAGAATGTGCGAGCTCATCCCCAGGGCAGGGACCTTGGCTGATCCTGATCTCGCCCCCTCCCCTGCTTCTCTGACACGGACACCACCCCTCTCTTACCGCCGTGTCTGAAAGAGAGGCTTAACAGACACTTGTCAAGGGGAGTGGGCCGCCATTTTTCATTGCTTATATACCACAACTGAGTTACCCCCACCGTGTCTCTCTACATTCACATGGGAATGTCCCACAACTTTTAATTCTTCAGACACTGGAATTTCATGACTCACATCACTGGAATTCAGGTCACACATCACTAGAAAAAAGAATGGTACTAGAAAACAGGCCTTGGTGTCCTTAGAAAGGAAAATCTCTTTCTGAGAATCCATTTCAAGATGCTTGGGCCAGCCAAGAGCACCGAGCCATTCCCCAAAGGCGACGATCCACCTGCTTCCTCTTCCTATTCAATTCTGGGCCCGGTTTGTGGATCAGCTGCAGTGTCTGTCCAAGAGGCACGTACTGCTGGACCATTCCTCTGCTCCGTCTGTCTAGCCGCGTAGCAGCATTGGACAGAAGGCACTCTTCATCCACGATGCCGACAAAGGTGAGCTTGATGCTGGATTTCATACAGAAGACTGCAATGCTTGGAGGCTTTGTGCAATGAGCACCCCGTCCTCAGCCAACGGGGGCAGCCTAAGCACCCCCTCCTCTCCTGGGAATCTCTCTTCAATTTCAATTCCTACCGGACCGACATCCTTCCGGACGGCGGCAAACACCTTTGGTGAGCGTACGTGTGCCTGTTTTAGGCTTGCTGAGAGCTGACAAAAGTTCTGACCTAGTTTTCAAAAACTCTTTATTTTTCACATGTGCATGAAGACAGGGGGGCGGAAGACGGCCTTCCAGGCCACGGGGTACTAGCGTGTGTCAACTTATCTACTGGGGAATGGCTCTTGGTCAATGGGATTGGGAGTTCCGTGAGGGCAGGGACTGTCTGGTTTTTGCCCCTTTTTGTATCCCTAGCGCCCCCTACATGACACATAATAAGAAGGTGCTTAATCAATGTTCATTGACTGACCATTTTGTTCTATAGAATCAAAAGATTTTCTACAAGTCAAATATAAAGAGTTGTGTTTTGTTCTCTCTATAATGGTGAGGCAATCGAGCATTGTCAAGTTGTGTAACACTTTACAGAAACATTTGCTGAAGCCCACCTGTTTCCTTCTCATAGTTCCATCCAGGTTGAGCCCAATAAGGGTGTAGATGACCTTATCAAGACAGTAAATAGACAGTCTGGTGATCACCTTTAAGAAAAAAAAATGTATAAAGTCCATAATTTTTTCCAGATGGAAAAAATTTTTTCCATTTTTCCCAATTTTTTCCTTCTTTCAGGAATCTTAAGACTTGATCCCTCAAAACATGGCAGCTCCAGCACGGATCACCTTTGTCCCATGTCTTTCTCAAGTTACCCACTGGGCACTGGGATGTGACCATCTGAATGTGGTGGTCCCAGAGTCAGTGACAGAGAAGAAAATCTGTTGTAGAAATCTTGGCAGGTCTTTTCCATTTTTATTCCATTGATCATCCTTCTGGTTATATCAGGAAGTGCGGCTGAGATGTTCTTGTTTCACTGGGTCTCCCACTAAGCTTTCAGTCAGTGAGATTTCCTTCCATGGCATTTTGCCATTTTACGAAGGGAACTGCTCAAAATCTTCTACCATCCTTCCTCAGTAAGCTCTGACAAATTAAATTCTAGTTTGAATTGGTGTCACCCTTAGCTACCACCTATCTGGTTGGCAAGATGGTCAAGCGTTCGACGGCGGAGGTGGTTTGGTCAGTTTACACTGACTAAGCTTCCTTGGGAACTAGTGGTAGTCTGTGTCCATGTATATTCTTTTATCCATTAAAAATTTTGAGGCACCAACAGCCGGTTTAATAGGTTAGATTGAAATTGTCTCAATTACCTGCAACAGCTTCTTCTCATTTTTATTCTAATTCATTATTAATTTTGATCTCTGTTCTAACAAATTCACCACACAGACAACTGATTTGGAAATAATTCTCACCTCAGTACTCAGTGTCGTTTTTTATGATATTACTTGGAACTAATCACGTTCAATGCCTTCCGGATCTTTTCTTGAAGAAAACACATTTTTTTCTTCAAGCAGCAACTCAGACTTATTTGTAGCTTAAGATCTGGGGATAAGCAAGGATAACAGCTTAAACAATACATGGGATCCTCCCCCTTTATGATGAGTGGAACGTACGCCACGTGATCAGTGGACCACGGCTGGAAACAGACTTGATCCCACAGCCATCAGGAATGAGATGTTTCTCAGCTACCACGTCCCCACATTCATCTGCACTGAACATCGTGAAGCCCTACTTCTTTGAGAGGTGGATCTTCTGGCGACCAAGAAACTTAAATTTGGCGTTGCGCAAAGCTCAATCACATGCTCTTTGTTCTAGACTTTGGTGTGAAGAGACATGATCATCTGTCCCATATGTACATGAGCAACAGTACCCTGGCATTTCCCAAGGGCACCCTGGATGCCCGTTTGGAGTCTACCAGCCCCGGCACAAGACAACATTTGTCGATTTGAATAACAAGGAAAGGGTGCAGTCAAACACAGATGTGGACACCATCTTTGCCACAACTCTTCACCACACATTTGTTGGCACAGATCTGTTCAGCCTCCAAGTTCAGAGGACAGCTGTTCACAGTCATCAGATACCGTATGACCACAGAATGGGAATTCATTCACTTTTGCCTTTTTTCAATCTAGGTCAAAAATCCGTATCTTTGCATCAGAGATGCCTCAGCAGAAACGTGATTTTGGACACGGCTTGTTCTTGCAGTATCTGGTGCAAGGGGCGGGAGGCAGCACATAGTCAAGGCAAAGAGAAAATATTCTTAATAGATAGAGAGGAGGCTCCTGGGTTGTCTACAAGTGTTTGGCCTCATTTGTGGCTAATTTTCCAGCATCTTTTTTTTTTTTAGTAGTCTTCCCCTCTGTTGGCTACTGCACTGAAGTTACCAAGTATTTAAAATACATGTCGGTTTAATTTGGATGGGTCATAAACAAGACATTTGTAGACTTCTTCACTGCTATCCTCTGTGACAGATTTTAGTAAGAAGCTATAATTATCTTTACCCTGGTCTTTTTACAAACAATCCTTATGAGCCCTGCAAGAGGAGCTGAACAAATATCTTATGAAATAATGTTTTTTATTGCCTTTAGATGAAGGATGAAACCAGCTTCCTCATTGCCTCTCACTGGAGAACCTGTGAGTCCCCCCTGCACTCAGTGGAAATTCCTAGAGGGAGCCGGGTGGTACAGTGGGTAGAACACTGGGCCCAGAGTCAGGAAGACCTTAGTTCAAATCCAACTTCATATCGCCTATCACTCACACTTATCAGAGTGGCTAATGTGGCAAAAAAGGAAAATGCTAGATGTTGGAGGGGATGTGGGAAAACTGGAACACTAATGCATTGTTAGTAGAGTTGTGAACTGATCCAACCATTCTGGAGAACAATTTGGAACTATGCTCAAAGGGCTATAAAGCTGCATACCCTTTGAACCAGCAATACCATGACGAGGTCTATATCCCAAAGACATTCAAAAAAGGGAAAAGGACCTATTTGTACAAAACTAGTCATAGCAGCTCTCTTTGTGGTGACTAAGAATTGGAAATCAAAGGGATGCCTATCAATCGGGGAATGGCTGAACAAGCTGTGGTACATGACTATGATGGAATATTATTGTGCTATAAGAAATGACAAGCAGGATGATTTCAGAAAAGCCTGGGAAGCTTACGTGAACTGATGCAGAGAGAAGTGAACAGAAGCGGAGAACGTTATACACCGTAACAGTAATATTGTTCAATGAACACCTGTGAATGACTTTGCTCTTCTCAGCAATGCAATGATCCAAGACAATCCCAAAGGACTCATGATGAAGCATGCTATCTGCCTCCAGAGAAAGAACTGATATTATCTGAATATAGATTGAAGCATGCCATTTTTCACTTTATTTCCTTCATTTTTTTTTTTTTGGAGTCTTCTTGTACAAAATGACTTTTGTTGAACTAAACTGAAATGTTTTACATAGTTGCAAGTGTATAACCTATGTCTGATTGCTTACTGACTCAGGGAGGGAGGAACAGAATTTGGAACTCAAAACTTTAAATAATGATGTTAAAATTTTTTAAAGAAATTTTATTTATTATAGGGAGGGCTTCTAGGAGGGGTAGTGGGAGACATATTGAGGAAAACTATTGTGAGATAAAAAACAAAAGACATCAATAAAAAACTCATTTTAAAAAAGAAAAAAGATCCAGCTTCAGACACTTACTAGCTGGGGGGCGGGGGGAGTCACTGAAGCTGTTTGCCTCGGTTTCCTCAACTGTTACATGACAATAAAAAGAGGAGCTGCCTCTCGGGGCTGCCGTGAGGATCGAACATCTGTTGGGTCAGCTCAGTGCCACACACATGCAGTCAGGTGCTTAAGAAGAGCTTGGTCCCACAGGGACCCTTAACCCGTGGAACGTGAACTCAAAAAGGTGGTTTAGCACTGGTTTCCATATGAATGAGCTGGCTTCCTTTAATCCTACACATTCCATTTTTGGCCTTTAAAAGCATGACAATCTGAGAAGTCCCTAAGATTCACCAGACTGCCAAAGTGGGTGGGGGGACACAGAAAAGGGTCAGCGACCCCTGCTCTGGTGTGTTTGTTCACTGGTCATTAGGCAAGGAGCTCCCATGCAGAGGACTGACAGTTCTAAAATCGTGGCACAACAGGAAGGGGGCCACATCATTTACCTTTGCTTTGTGGGTTGCCATGGTCAAGAATCCAGCGCCTACCGGTGATGGACCATTCTGAGCTAGGTGAGGCTGGTGTTTGGAAAACTGACAGTGTGTCCCTGGATGAAGGCTTTCCAGCACGGCAGACTGCCAGATGCATCAGCACACCCTTCCAGGACCCGCTGGCATCTTCTCATCACAATAAAGCTTCAAATTAGGACTCTGTCTAGATCCATTCCCACCTACTGACCTGTAATTCTCATCAAAGCTACTATAACTTGACTCAAGGAGATAAACCTAGTCTTCTATGTTTGAACAAATACTTAAAAATATAACCTCGATCAGAAGAACATACCATGAAACAAAACAATTTTCTTATGGCTTTCAGTTTGCCACACAACATGACTCTGGGGCTGGCAGGGATGACACGATGGCCAAGGGTCAGGTATTGTTTCCAGGGGCCCGGAAAGCAGCCCCAGACTGATGCTGGCTCTTCTGACCCTCTCTGTGCCAGGAGGCAATGAACGGTGCCCTCTGGGATGCTGGTGGTCTTTCTCAAGGTCTTTGCCCAAAAGACACATTCTACTTTCATTAGATTTGAACTGGCTGGAATCTGACCGTTCCTGTGATGTCCACCAAGACCACAGTTAGTAAAATAAGAAATGATCTCGGCGCAAGGGCCGGGTTCCAGCCTCCTGCGGGGTCTGCTACTCTGAGAGGCAAGGGGGCATTATTACAAAGAGCGCCAGCTTGGGAACCAGGCAGACTGGATTCTGGCTGTGCCCCTTTAATGAGCTGGCAGACCCAGGGCCAATCAGGTGTCATACTGAAGAGAACCTACGGGGGTAAGAACAGAGCCGGGGGGGTGGTTCACAATTAGAAGTGGACGGGGGAGACGGCAGGGGAGGGGTGGAGGGATCGAGAGAGAACAAGACCATTTAGCCAAACTGGCTTTAAGACTAAAATTATTTCCTTTGTATGTCTCAGCAAACACCTTTGAAAGAATTTTAGACCCTAACAGGGCAGGAAGGGCAATGTTTGTCATCAGGTGCTGGCAGCTGGCAAAACAAGAACAAAACCAAAAGCCCTGAGTCCCCGCGGGCCCTGAGCCCAGGACAGGAGTGTCTCACTCAGATCTGGGCACGGTTTAGTCTTTCCCTGAAAGTCTTGAAAGAAGCAGGACAGTGAGTGAGCATCAGGCTGGGAAGACGTGGAGAGAAGCAGGAGCACGTCCTCTCGGGCTCAGAGCCACCCCAGCCCCGGGGGCCTCGGCTCCCATCGGCCACCACTCCAACCCCGTGCCCTCGAGAGGCCGCCTAATCGGAACACAAGCTGAGCTGCCCCTGGCTTCTGCGTTCTCCCTGCTAACCCTACGGTGCCGAAGGGGCCAAGGAGGATGGCGTGGGAGGCCTGGGGCGGAGGGCTGTGAGGGCAGCATGGTGCAGCAGGCCTGGAGTCCAGGCTGAGCTCACACCCTTGAGCAAGACCGGGCCGCGCTGCCCGGGAAGCTAAGGCTCAACTCCACGAGCTGAGTCTTGGGGAGCCTCTATGAGATAAGGCAGAAGGGCCATGTGGGTGGCCTGCTGCGATCCCCACGCGAGATAAGCAGGGAGAGGTCCAGACGGTCTGGATGGGATCTACCTCGTCATGCACCTCACATCGACCACACCCCAAAGGCCTCCTGACCTCCAGGCTCAGCTGATGGAAAGCTCTCACCCCCGCCCCGCCCCCCACACACTGCACCCGGACACAATGACTAAGCGTCTGGGGCCAGTTCCTCCTCCCAAAGTGCTCCATCGTGGGGACTGAGGACGCTGGTTCCTGCATCGATTTCCAAAAGCCCCCAGCTGGGACGTGCACTTCCCTAACGAGACGGTGAATGGATCCTGGGGGCCTATGATGACACGTATTGGGAAAGGAAATGAGAAGAGACAGGTCTCCTGGCTGCCTTTACACTGGGGCCGAGTGTGCGGGACTCCTCTGCAGTCCTCCTCTTCCACCCTCATGTAATGGACTCAGCTGTCTCTCCATTCGACAGCAACACAGCCCAAGACCTCTGGACGGGGCCCGCTGCCTTCCATGGGCCTGCCTGCTTCCTCATCTGCCCTTGCCCACACCCACGACTATGCTCCTGAGTCTTTCAGCTCCCAAATCCTCTGACTCAATCACCCTGGTGACGAGCCATCTCCCCGGTCCATGAGTCTGGTGCCCACTGCCCAGGGAGGTGGCCCTCGGCCTCATACCTGTTTGCAGAACCTGAGGAAGCCAATAGAGTACGTCCTCCCCCAGAGGCAGCAGGTACCATACATACAGCTCGACCTATATGAGAGACAGGAGGGTGAGCAGAAAGCTGGAACCCCCCAACTGTGGGAGATAAAGTGAGGCCAGGGGGTGGGGAGCACCGGTGAGGCTAGCCGAAATGAAGGCCGTGAGCAGATTGGGCTGAGTGTTTCTGCTACTGAACTAACGTGGGGACTCCCACAGTCACTGAGTATAGGGAAGGGTCCGTCTCCTCCTCTCTAGCCCCTGCGCAACTGGCGCTGTCCTCTGTACACACGTAGTGCTCCATCACCGTTTGCTGAATTGAACATGAGAGGCACCGGGCCAGGCACCATGACAGGCAGAGAGACAGGCCAGAGCTCTGGCCACGATGGACATGACTATACTGATCAGGAGGGAGACTGAGGCCTGTGGAGTCAAGACACCTTGCAGGAGAGGCCTTGTCCAGCCTCTTCCCCACTCCTGAGATGGGGCACCTTCAAAAGAGCCAGGCCCAGGGTAACAGAGCCAGAGTTTAGGGGACAGGAAGTGAGCTGCCAAGTAGAGCAGGGCTCCAGGGAAGGCCGCATACTTACTCGATGGACTTCCCTCGGATCTCCGACATAATGGCACTCTCTCCTCCAAGGTATTCATAGCAGAGGCTCAGAAAGTTGTAGATGACAAAAGCTGTGGAGAAAAGGCCCCGCAGGGCCACAAATCAGCTTCTGAGACACGAGAGGGCGGGGGCTTTACTCCCCCATGGGCGCAATGCCCTTCAGTGCTGGACACAGCATGTCAAAGGAGGAGACGGGGCTGGCCCTGAAAATGACGGGAAGCAATCCAGCCTCATGAGTAAGCATCCCCACCACACGGTCACAGGAGGTGAGGGAGAAAGGCAATGGCGGGGCAGAGATCTGCTGCAAAGCCAACGTTGGGACCGTCCTAAGAACAACGTCCTCTCCCCCACGGCTCCCCGTCTCATCGTCACCACCAACCATGGCGTCTCCAAGGACAAAGTTGGAGACAGAATGGGCTGGCATGATGGAGGCCAGGAGATAGGAGAGAGGAGCTCAACCGCACCAGAGAGCAGGCTGTCGTGGAAGGGACACTGGGCTCGGACCTAGAGCCACAACCTCCTACGCCCCGCTGGGGGCGAGTCCCTCCAGCCCGGAAGCCCAGTGTTCTCACAAGCCTGGCACCACTTCTTCCCCGGGGCCATGGGGAGGAAAGGGCCCAGTGCAATGGAGCTATCTGTTGTTTCTCTTAATCATCCATGTTTGTAATGGGGGAAGGGAGTGAGGGGAGGGGGGAGGGAGAAAAGGTGGACCTGGAGTTAAAGTTGAATCTGAAAAAACACATAGATATCAGTTCTGAGGAGCAGGAAGGGATGTGAATGACACCGAGCTGCAGTCACAGGAGGGAAGGAGAGGAAAAGCCCACCTGCCAATCACAGCCAGGGGACGATACAAGAAGGCAGGGACCAGCCTCGTCACACAGGGAGGGATGACCCACGAAAGCCAGGAAACCAGCACGAGAGCATCTCAGGGCTTATGAGTGAGGGGAACAGTGGCAAGGCCATGTGGAGCCAGGATGGGACCCACGGGGCATACTGGCACAAAGAGGCAAACAAGGGGCTTACATCGTAGGGGGCGCGACAAGCACATCTAAACCCACATACATTCTCAAAGTAGTTAAACCCAAAGTAATCTGGGAGGGAGGCCACTGGCCGCTGGGTGATTGGAAAGGGCTTCATGCAAAGGGGTAGGCTTCTATGAGATGGGAGGGCAGAAGGAGGGTGTTCCGGGAAGAGGGTAAGGTCGGGAACAAAGACACCAAGATGGTGGCCGGAATGTCACAGGTGAGGAACAGGACTGAAGAGAGGTGAGGCAGTAATGACGTGGGAGGCCTGAAAGCCAGGCCAGGGCGAGGCGCTGAAGGACTTCACAAGCTAAACAGAGGACTTCATATTTGTTCCTAAACTCTTTTTAAAAAATATAACTATTTTGATACAACTGGTTTCCTATATATTTTTGCATTTAAAAACATGATTTTGAGAAGGCTCCATGGGCTTCACCAGACTGCCCAAGAAGTCCAGGACCCAAAAAAGGTTAGAGGCAAGAGAAAGAGCTGGAGTGAGCTGAGCACAGGTTAACGCAGTGAGAGGGGCCCTTATGGAAAATCACTTGGGTAGCGGTGTGGAGGATGGACAGGAGATGTGATGCACTAACCATGAAGGGCACGTGCCCATGCTAGGGGAGGACTACAGCTCTGCCAAAAACCTGCTTTTGGGGTCGATCAGCCTCTCAAGTCTCCAACAATCTAAAATCAGAAGCTGTCCATTTGGAAGAGGCATTCAAAGTCACCTGGTTCAGCCTCCACTCACATGATGAATCCTACAGGCAACATTCTTATGAGGTGCTCAACGATGCCCCCTCCAAGACAGCCCATTTCCATGTTTACTTGCTAGGTGGTTTTATCTTACAATGAGCTGAAATCTGCCTCCCTTCCCCTCTGACTTCAAACCATAAAATCTCTCGGTTGGATGAAACCTCAGTAGTCACTTTCTCAAACCCATCTGAGAACAGAAATACCCTGTTCAGCTTCCTCAAAAAAGTGGTGAGGCAGCCTCCAGCTGAGGCCCCTGCAGCCTCCCGAGAGGAGCCTCTGCCCTTCCGGTCAGCTCGTACTGTGAGGAAGAAAGGTTTCGCTAGGAGGAGCTGAGATCAGCTTCTTTGGGGGCTCCTAATCCGACTGTCTTCCATAGGATACCCCTTCACATGCTCAAAGGCAGACGGACTTTCCCTCCACTTCCCGCCTCCCCCTTCCCTGCCCCCTCCAAGTTCTGTTATCTCCAGATGAAAAACGTCCTCAGCTCCTCTGATACTCAGAGAAGATGGTTTGGAGTGGAGGTGGGGGCCGGCACCCTTCCCCCGCTGCCAAAGTCTTCCCTAAAGAGTGGTGTCCAGAAGGGACCAGGGTCCTTGAGAGGATGGCTGAGAAGAGGGCAGAAGCCGGCAGGATGGGCGGCTTCCTTGTTTCTAGACATCACCCTTCTGTCAATACAGCCCAAGATGGCATCCGTCTGGTCTGGGCTGCCCACTGGCCTCCCTTCTCCCTCCAGGAGCCTACAGCCAAGCTTACTGAGGGCAGGTGACAAGCCCCTGGGGGCCAGAAGCTCTCTTACTGAGGTCAGCCTCTCTTGGCCAGCCCTCTGCCTACCCCCTGGCGGCAGGAGCTCCTGGATGCCAGCAGGGGGTGAGAAGAAGGCAGACCTGGGGGCAGCTGGAAAAGACTCTGTCTGCACCCTGACCAGTTGGCTGGAGCAGCTGTCTCCACATACACACAACAAAGATGCTCCAGGAAGGATTAGAGGGCACAGTCAAATGGGGAAACAAGAACTCTGCCCTCAGAGAAGGTGTTGACCTAGATTGAAAACAGAGTTTTGACTGAGAACAGCAAAGGAATCATCTGTCTCATATGGCCCTGCTCTGAGAGGCAGTCTGAGAGGCAGAGCCTCGGTCTCAGAGGGAGGCAGTGGGGAAGAGCTGCAGGCTCCCTCCCCTTCTGGATCTGCCCACCCCCCAACGCCCAGATCTAGGCTTGGCTCCATTCCCCTTCCAGCGCTCTAATCCCTAAAGGGATTCCGACCCTCCCCAACCCAACTACTGCAGGCCCTCTCTAGAATGAGGTAGAGATGCCTTAACGGACTCCTAGACCGTTCCTGAATATTCTTAGCAAGGAAAGAGCCTCCAGAATTCTCATTTTGGCGACTGAGCTGCGCCGCTGCCAAGCTCTCCAAGTAGGGGTGAGATGGCCCCACCCTGCCCGCACTCTGACCTGCCCAGCCCTACACGGGGGCTGGGGGTGGGGGTTTTCCCCGGAGGGCCACCTGCATCCTCAGCCGTTGTTTCCTGGTTTCCTCCCAGGGCCTGCCCCTCTGTCTCCTCTTGCTCCATACGCCCAACACTGTCCAGCTTTGTCTTCATCCACACTGACGGCCAGACGTCCCTCGGTGCTAACAAAATCCTGCCTTAGTCTATGAGTCGCTGAGGGACGTCGAGCAAGTCACTGTACTTGTGGGCCTCAGTTTCCTCACACATGATAGGAGGTGGGACTGGGTGGCCTGGGAAGTCTCCCGAAGATCTAGGATCCCGTGAGCCCACTCTCTGCCTCAGTTTCCTCATCTGCAAAGCCTCCGAGGCTCCTGCTTTCAGCCCACGCTGCTGGGAAATCAAGCCCCACCCATGACCAGCAATGAAGCCTCCTGCCTGCTGTCCTTTTCTTCAGCTTGGGGGCTATTTCCTCACTGGGTCACTTGGGCTATCTAACTTTCTTCCAGGATTATGGCCGTCCCGGGCAGTCAGAGGCTGGAAACGCGAAGTATCACAGCTGGACAGTGGAGACCACACTCTCCTGGGCCCCATGTCTAGTCTCTCCCAAGACACTGTTGGAGTCTCTTCAGGGCTAGGGCCTTCCTGCCATTTCCTGGACCTCTCACTGACCCTAACGAAGCAAGCGCTCCCCCAGGGCAAGGCTGCGAGCGGGGGCCGAGATGTGGAGTGATGGGGGCTCCAGCTTCTGTCTGCTCCCAGTGGGAATGCTGACAAAGCTGGCCACGGTCAGAAAAAGGCCAGATGAGCAAGCCTCATTAATAGACGTATTTATACCAGAACCAGAGGCAGACAGAATGAAGACGCGCTTCACGAAGGCTCCCTTAGCTCCCAGGGTGGCTGGGATACAGTGGCCAAGGCTGTGGATTGGGAGTCCAAGGTCTGGCCCCGGCCAAGTGACTCCACTGTTCTCAGGCACCATCTTTTCGTCTGTGAAACGAAGGGGCCGGTGAAGGTCCCTGCCAGCTGCAGACCCCGGGCCTCAGATCACCCAAAGCTCCTCAGAACATCTCAAGGAAAGGAAAGACGCTTCCTTCTTGGGGGTGACCCGGGGCGAGGGAATGGAGAACATGACCTCTGCTGACCCAAGTCCTCTCCTTTCTTACACAGTTCAGCCCCTGTGTGGTCACAGACCTATCCCAGCACAAGTCTGGGACTTTCCAGCGTGCATGTGGATAGAAAGCTGGCAAACAGAAAGCCTGGGGAGAAGGAAAATGAAGATAACCTTGGAGAAGCCCCTAAATCTGGGACAGCTCACTTCTCCTCCCCTTCCATGAAGTGCAGGGGCCCCTCCTCCTTCACAGAAGTCAGAGGAGAGGAAAATAGGAGAAGTAAAGGAGCGTTATGAGAATCTCTCTTTCTAACACACACACACACACACACACACACACACACACACACACACACACACACACACACACACACACCCATTCTCCAGCTCTGTACGGGCACAGCTGCCATTCAACACCTGGCCAACGACCCACAGAATAAAAGGGCTGAAGAAAAGCCATCCCACGTGCCACAGGGGAGAAGGCAGGAAGTCAGCCCCACTGACCAGAGACACCAAGAGCTAGTGACCTTTGGGGTGGCCTGAACCCCCAGCAGATGTTTTGATGTTTGCAAACACCTTCAGAGAAAGGGAGGGGAGAATGGCCGTTGCTAGGAGATGAGTTTCACAGCGCACCAGACTTCCTGCTTGGCTCTGACCCGGCTTTGTGGGGGGAGGCGCAGGAGGGGAACAAAGATGGCCTATGGGGCCGGGGAGGGTCCGCCCACCACCTCTGGCCTTTGTCAAAGAGCTTAGGAAGCTGCCTGGCACCTTGGGCAGAGGAGGTGCCCAGGACCCTAGAGGAGGCCCAGCTGATGGTGGCAGAAAGCCAGAGGCCCCTTCCTGGCCACGGAAGCAAGCGTGGGGCTCTGCCACAACCATGGGGAGGCCCCATGCCCAGGCTCCCAGAGAAACAGGTAAATAGAGAAGCTTTCCCGGCGAGCTCCTCCAGTCCCTTCAATGCCTCCCTCCCACCCTGGAGGCCTCGGTGACTTCCCTGGGGACTTGGTCTGTACAAAGAGGGAGAATTCTGGGAGGCTCACTCGGGCTTCCAGGGCATGTGCTTATTCTGCGCCTCAGTTTCTTCCTCAAGTGGGGGTGGGGGCTTTCTCTGGATGCTTCCAGGGGCAGCAAGCAGTACATGGAGGGAGGCTGGCACTTTGAAGGGAAAGGCAATACTTCCCCCTACCAGTATGTGGAGGGCTTTGAGGAAGAAGAAGAAATAGGGTCTGATGGTCAGGGCAGGGAACAGAGGGGAAAGAGCCCTGGGCTCCTACTTCGGGCCCTGGTCCCTTCATTTACTCACCACATAACCACGCTGAGTCCCCAAGCCAGGGGCATGGCTGGCATTGCCCACCTGCCAGGGCTGCCGTAGGGGAATGCTCCATCCCTGGGGGGGAAGGAGGAGGGGCCACGCTCCAGACAGGAGAGAGGGGGCAGAAGGGGCTCTGCCCACTTGGCCCCTGGGGTGGGTCAGCGTGCCTGGAGGGGACCTGGGTAGCAGGTACAAAGACAACAAGGATGGGCTCCAAGCCATGGGATTTCCACCCCTATTACTCCCTGCCCCCATCAGCATGGGCTAAGAGGAAAAGTCTGTTGGGAGCAGCCTCCCTCACGGGGAAAGGCCTGGGAGCCTTTGCCCCCAACTCTGCCCCCCAGTCCCCAATCCAGACGATGGGACGTGTGCCTGTGCCCTCCACCACGTCAAGAAAGCTCAGCAAATGGAGCACTGAGGAAATTGGCCTTCACGCCAACCACGACCCAGGGAAACTGAGGCTGGAAGCACCCACCCCAACAGGGAGCAGGCCAAGCAGTGGTGCCTGCAGCCTGGCGGCTTCACAGGTGGCGGCGGTGGCAGCGGCGGCGGCAGCAGGGATGCCGGGCAGAAGCCGGCACTGCCTGGCATCGAGGCTCCCAGACCAGGCAATGGTCCCTCCCCTGGCGTCCGGGCCTGCTCCCGCGCCCCAGCGCACTCCTTACCCTCGTAGCAGTCGCGCACGGTGCCAAAGTACACGTAGTACTGGTCATTGGTGAGGAAGAGCAGGCTGAGCCAGGAGTCGAAGGCGTAGATGGGCACAATGAAGAGGATGCGGACGATGTAGCGCTGCTCGTTGGGGCAGCTGTAGCAGCGCAGGTGTCTGTAGATCTGGGGGCAGAGCCACGAATGGCGCCGTGAGCCTAGGGACTGCCCTAGTGAGGCGGGCCCCGGGAGTCTGCGGCACGGGGGGCAGCCGGAGATCTGGGGGTCCCCGGCATGAGGCCGGGGGCCCTGCAGGTGGGGATCGGGCCCACACGGACCTGTGCGCATCCCAGAGTCAGCCTCGCTGGGCGGTAAAGAGGAGGCCTGGACTAGGGGCTGGAACACATGGGTCCAAAGCCTGGCTCCAGCAGCTCTCAGAGCTTTGGCCTCTCCCCCTGTGAAATGAGAGAATGCTGGTAGTGCCCGCCTCCTGAAGGGCCTTTGGAGCCCCTGACGCGGATGTCAGCAGCAGCTCTGGGCAGTGAAAGGGAGCTCGCGGCGGCCCTAGGAAGCTTCCTGGGATACTGGGAGGATGAAATAAAGACCAGGAAGTGGTCTGGAAAAGGACCCTGCTCCCCATGTCCAGGCCCACCCCCAAACAGGCTGGGAGCTCAGAGCCAAGACGAGGCTGCCCGGGGGAGCCCGGGAAGGGCTGGGGAGCCGGGGCTGCCCGCACGGGGCTCGTGACAGGAGCCCTGAAGGAGACGCGTTCCTCGCTTCTCAGCGCCCGGCCACTGAGGCCGGAGCTCAGGGATCCCGGGGCAGAGAGGCGGCAGCCCCAGGGCTCACCTGATGGCCAGTGATGAGCAGGGCCGTCCACACAAAGAAGCCGGAGATGGCCTGGGCCGCGGTGGTCATCAGGAAGATGGGCTGCTCCATCGCGGTCGGGCTGCCTTCCGGGATCCAGGAGAAGCTGGGGGGCGCTGCGGTGGTCGGGGGGGAGGCCGGCTCGGGGGCCAGCGCGGCCTGCGTCACCATCATGGTGCTTCCTGGCCACAGCTTCCCTCAGGGAAGCCCAGGAATGGGAAGTGAACCTAGAGAGGGAAGAGAACACCGGAGTATTAGGGCAGGGGTCCTCCCTCCTCGGGGCCTGAGCGAGGCAGCCGCAGGGACGTGTCTGAAGCGCCTACTGTGTGCCGGGCACTGCGCTCAGCGCTGGGGACGCAGAAAGAGGCGAAAGACCGTCCCTGCCCTCAAGGAGCTTACCATTCAACGGGGGAGACGACGAAGAAACAGATTCGTAGAAACAAGCTCCACACAAGACAAACGGGAAATGATTAATGGTGGGAATGCGGCGGAATGAAGAGGGCCGGGGGAGACTTCTGTCAGGAAGTGGGATTTTAGTTGGGACGTCATGGAAGCCAGGGAGGGCGTTCCAGGCCTTGGGAGAGACAAGGATGGAATGTCTCACTTGTGGAGCAGCCGCAAGGCTGGGGTCACTGGATGGATAAGGTGCAAGGAGGCTGGCCGGGGGATGAAAGGCTCTGAATGAACACCAAGCAGAGGGGCAGCAATGCCCCTGCCCATTCACCTGGGCCTTCCTTAGCAAAATGACCTGACCTTTGGAGTTGTCTTTGTGAAAATTCCCCTGCCTTTTGGTCTCCATCCTTGCCACTAATTTCCACAGAAACTCTTACCACCACCCCACCACATGCGTGTGTACACACACACACACACACACACACACTCTCTCTCCTATAAAACCATGGTGAATCTTTGTTCCAGTTATATAGATGCACAGTTATATAATGCCTGTGTCCATTTCACAGATGGGGAAACTAAGGCTCTGAGAAGCGATGCCCATAGTTGGCATGGCTGGAATACCAAGCCTGCTTTTTCTACTGTATTCTCTCCTGGGGAAAGTCCCTCTAGCTCGGGAGAGAGCCAGATGGACCAATAGGCCTTATGCCCACTTTCAAGACTGGGCAGAGAACACCAAGAAAGGCCTGCCGGACATGGCCCAGAACATGCCCCATTCCCATGGCCTGTGGACACGAGCAATGAACTCTAGAACTAAGCCCGGGTCCAGTGGCCCCGCAGCCTGGGGCTTACTGCTGCCACCTGTTGGCAGATCTGTAAGTGCCATCCTCCCAAGCTGCTGTCTGAAAACGGCAAACGCCTTACCCACGGCGGCATCAGTGTGGACCCATCACGCTGCTGGCACAGAAACAATTTCATTTTGCCCCAAAATGCTGAGTCTTCCAATGACCAGAAATGTAAAATAAACAAAAGCAAAGAAGAACTTAATAATAAGCTGCCGGGACCGATCTGAAAAGCCTCGAGGTTGGGACATACTGGGGGGTGTGGGGCAGGCAGCAGGCTGAACCTTGTCCTGGCTTGGCCATTCACTCATTGTGCCTTGGTCAAGGCACTTAAGCCCCGGATGTTTCACCCGTAAAAAGGTAGGTTGGCATAGTTGGGGGAGTGTTGAACTCCAAGTGAGGAAAATCCTGCCTCAGGCATTCACTAGCTGTGGGACCCTAGGCAGCTGATAATCTCTCTCAGTCTCAGTTTCCTCATCTGTAAAATAAAGGGGTTAAACTCCTAGCCTCTAAGGCTTCCAGCTCTCAATCTATGATCATTATACCTTCTATTCTGGAGGCATAGGGCTGGACCAGATAATCCCCAACTCAGTTTCCAACCAGAGCTGATTCTATGCCAAAATGGTGGTCAGCAAACAAACCCGGGCCAGTTTATCGGCCAAACAACCAAAACCAATTACCTTGTGACTCCCAAGCCAATGTAATGAATCAACCTGCATTTATTACATATATCCTGTCTAACAGACTGTGCAAAGCACAGGAGACCAAGACAGGTCCTGCCCTCTGAGAGTGTACATTCTACTAGGACCCAGGACACATACAACAAATGAAAAGGGGTAGGAATTAAGGAATTAAGACTCACCAGGGCATATCATTTCTGCCATCGTGATTGAGAGGCCAGAACCAGGACCACCAGGGGAAAGCAGAGGGAAGTAGCTTTGACTTTAACATAAGGCATTTCTAACCAAGAATCCGAACTCTCCAAAAATGGAAGGGGCCTTGTGGGCAGCGAGGGAGCCCTCCAACACTTAGTAGGCAATAATATGACGGGACCCCAGATCTACAACTGGAAGGGGCCTCAGAGATCGGGCTCAACCTCTTCCCTGCAGAGACCTTCAGGGGGCGAGATTTGACCTTGATCTTCTGACAAGAGGGCCAGGAACTGCGGTTAAGTGAGGGGCTCACATGGAGGAGATGAGAAAACACATACCTTGATTTTAAACCTCCCACAAAGCATTTACTTTAAAGGAAGGAGAAAGTGCCGGTCACTAGGGGAGAGGAGAGAATCAGGGAAAGCTTCACAAAGGGAGGAGGTAACATCTGGGCTAAATAAACCTTGGATAGAGAAAGCTAGAGTTTAGAAGGCCTAAGGCAGGCCACGTGTGGCCCAGGTCAGGTCCCAGAAGGCCACAGGTGGCCTCAAGGCCACAGGTCCCCCCTTCCCCACCAGGTCTAGGGGAAGGACTCCACGCACCTGGAAAAACTTGGGTCAATCAAAAGGGGAATGGAAGCTTGGCTGGGCCCCAGTGAGGGACAGGAATGAGGCGGAGAATGACGGCTTGGAACCAGGCTCTGGTGAGCCTTCGGTGCCTGGCCGAGGAATCGTGTTTTAATCCTGAGCCAATAGGGAAGGAGGGAAGGCTTCCTAGGAAGGGAATGAATGAAATGGTCAGCCTAATGTCTCAGGAAGATTCTTCTGACAGCTGGAGGGGGTGGCAGGGTACAGCCTTCTGTTAAATAGGGTTGAGATGCCCTCCTCAGGTCCTGGGACAGACTTTAAGCTAACAAACAAAAGTTCTATGCTGAGAAGCAGATTTCAGCTCAGTATCAAGCAGAGTTATTCAGCAACAAGGAGCTGCCTACCGAGGTCATGTAGGAGCTAGCTGTCACTAACCAGGGCCCAGCCGAGGCTACCGGCGGCCGTGGAGGGCCTCCATGCGGCTAGCAGACGCCAGCTTGGACCAAAGCAGGGGTTCTAAAATTGGAGTCTGGGAACTTTTTAAAAAAAAAAATGATTTTCCTATCTACTTCACTGTGCTGGTTCCCTCTGTAATCCAATGTATTTTAGTTTATGAATCTAAAAGCATTCTTCTGAGCAGTCCACAGGGCACACCAGACTGACTGCCAGCGGGGTCCAGGACCCATAAAAATGGTCACGAGTTCCTGGACTAGACGATCCAACCCACCCCCCCAGATGTTAGATGGGCCTTCTTTGGGCCCAGCTTTGGCTCCCTCTAGCCTCTCCCTCTGACCCTCACCCCATCTCCTTTTATACTGTGGGGCCCCCATCTACTTAATCCAAGTTCAGGACAGTGGAGAATCATTTATTTCTTTTCCCAGCTGCTTTCTACTGTTCCAAACAACGCCACAGAAACCCTTTTGTTCCCTGACTGGGAGCTTGGGCAGCCCTTTGTACTCCCTTTACCCTGAGGCCAGTGGAAACCAGAAGGGGAAACCACACCTCATTAGATGTCCGGCTCAGGCAGCACTGGCCTACTAGGAAACACCGTAAATCATGGAATTTGGCTGGATCACTCGGGCTTCCACCTCTGCAGGCTTCACATAAACACGCTCAGGCCTGCCAATACCTCCCAAAGCCAAAATCAGGTCATCCCAGGACTTCCTTGAAAGAGGATCCCAGGTAGTGCCACTCTCCACGCAGAATGTTAAAGTACGCACCAAAGACCCCTTCATCGATCAAGAGCTTTGAGGGATGGAAGAAGTCTGGAGAAGGGAAGGAGGCGAGAAGAAGGCAGCTTCACCCAGACTTCCCACGGGAGCTCCTCAGATTCTCTGGACCCATGCCCAACCCTGATGCTGGGATGGCCACCCCAGGGGGTCTCCAAGTATCTCCAGAGGGTGTCATGAAAAAGGAAGGAAGGAAGAAAAAGAGAGAGAGAGATTCCAAATCACCCATCTAAAAAATGTTCCCAGACATTTCCAGAAGGGGGGAGGAGGCGTCACAAGACCCCCCCCCCCACGTTGGAGCCTTTGACTCCAACACGCATAAGCAGGTGAGTCACAGCCCTAACCCTATCACCGACACCCAAAACAACCAATCAGGTCCTGGAAACACAAGCATTGCCCCAGCAGGTGTGACTGGATTAGCCTAACAAGGGAAAAGAACCCAGAGCAGGCTCAGCTCCTTTCTCCAGCAGGACCAGACAACAGTGAGGGGCAGTTGCTTTGTTCCCCCCACCCCCACACCCAATGCTTTAGAACATGGGTCTGAATGAAGGAGCAGGCAGGACAAGGGCTGCTGGATACCTTATTTCTCCCCTGCCCAATGCCCCTACCTCAAAGCAGGTGCATGTGGGGCGAACCCTGGCCGGCGGGTGTTCAGGACCCCCAAGGCTTTGGCACGTGCCAACAAAGAGAATGAGAGGATGCTGCTCCCCTTCTTCCAGCAGAGACAATCTCATCCCTGCCCCCCCCATGCCATCGAGGGTTTACAAAGGGCTCGTGGACAACAACCTTGAGATGGTAGCCAAGTGGCAATGTGCCCATTTTATAGATGAGGAGACTAAGCAAGCCTCAGCTTGAGAGACTGATGTGTTTATGGGAAACAGTGGCTCCCGGACTTGGCCTCTGGTCTTTCTGAGCCCACGTCTCTCTACTTAAGCCATTCAAAGTCTCCTGTGGAGCCTGGCACAAAGGCCAGCCCACCATTCCCTGAGAATCCTCTGGAAATACAAATATTCTAGATCTCCTCTCAATGGCATTCCCGTTTCTGGGTTTCCTCTGAGAGAACAGAGCAGGCTCCCCGGAGGCCTGGGCAACACGTCCATGGGCCTTGTCCTCCCTGAGTGCCTGGTCTAGGCACTAGAGGGAGACAAAGACGAATGAGGTGTGGTCTCTGCCCCCAGGTAAACAGACTCAAGGAAGAAACTCTAAGCCCAAGACAGAATCCTGTCCATCTAGAGAAAGAGGGCCATCTCCTCTGAGACCTGCAGGGCTCCAGGTAGCCATACGGGCCAGAGTCAAAGTTCAAG